CGTCTCATTTAATGTTAATAAAAACCAAATTTGCATATTTTTCAATAAAAACATATATGTACTATTTGTTTAAGGAGCTTGGGTGGCTCAAGTGGTTAAGACGCTGAACTGCAGGCTGTGGAAGGTCAGTAGTTCAGCAGTTCAAGACCCGGGTGCCGCATGACGGAGTGAGCTCCCGTCTCTGGTTCCAGCTCCTGCCAACCTAGCAGTTCGAAAGCAAGAAATTGCAAGTAGATAAATAGGTACCACTTTGGTGGGAAGGTAACAGCGTTCCGTGCGCCTCGGTGTTTAGTCATGCCCGCCACATGACCACGGAAATGTCTTCGGACAGCGCTGGCTCTTCGGCTTTGAAACGGAGATGAGCACCGCAACCCTAGAGTCAGATTCGACTGGCTTTCGAGCAAGGGAACCTTTACCTTTTACTATTTGTTCATGTCCTGAGGCTCTCAAACATGTGACATTTATTCTATGTGGCTCTTACGTTAAGCAAGTTTGGCCACCCCTGTTCTACAGGCTACGGTGGAGCCAGAAAAGAAGACTTTCCTAGAAGCTAAAACGACTCAGCAGAGGTTATCGTACTTTGGACACATCATGAGAAGACAAAGAGTCACTGGAGAAGACAATAACGCTAAGGAAAAGGTGAAGGCGACAGGAAAAGAGGAAGAGCCAACCAGGAATCCAGGGCCCTCAGCTTGCAAGGCCTGAGGAAGGCTGTTAAGGAGGACATTTTTAGAGGTCACTAATTCATAGGGTCGCCATAAGTCGAAAGTGACTTCATGGCACTTAACAGATACACACATTTAAGACCAACAAAATTTTATTGTGGGTATAAGCTTTTGTGTGCACGCACACTTTTCCAGAGACGTTGACATGGAAGTTGCCAGTCCATAAATGTAGGTAGAGGGTGAGCCGCAAATTAGCTTAACAGCATAATAAAAGCGTTTAACAGAGGCAAGGGCCAAACTGGAATAACAAGCTTAGTTTATAGGGTCACCATTTGTTTGGGTTTAATTCTGGGGGAAAGGTGCCACTGGACTCCGACCATTGTTCTGCTGCTTCAGACCAACAGGGCTACCCACCCGAATCGACACACACAAACCCCTATGGGTGAAAACTGAGAAAAGAAACCACCAGTGTTCCCTCTAAGCTGAGTGAGTGTGAGCTAGCTCACAGTTTTTTAGCCTCCGGCTTACAGATTTTCGTCTTCACTCAGGAAGGAGGGCTTCCGAGCAAACCGATTTATGCAGTAGCCGAATCACCCGCTCACAACTTTAATGCCAGTGGCTCATGAAGTAGACTTTTTGCTCACAAGACTCCACAGCTTAGAGGGAGCATTGGAAATCACCCCATGCAGACTACTCTGTCTCCTAGAGCACATACTCAGCTAGGGTTGCCAAGTCTGGGAAATTCCTGGAGATTTGGGGAGAAACCTCAGTGCCATCTAATGCCACAGAATCCACCTTCCGAAGCTGCCATTTCCTCCAGGGGCACTTGACCCCTTTCCTCCCGGCTGTGATTCCGGGAGATCCCCAGGCCCCACCTGGAGATCGGCAACGCTCCGCCCATCCCCCTGGGGAAGAAGTCCGACTGGTGTCGGCGGGGCACCAACACGGCGTTGCGGGGCTGCCGCCCCCTGGCACGCGTCGCCGCGGTCCCGCAGCTGGGTCTCCCCGCCCCGATCCCCGCGGGTCTTCCGCTCGACGGGAGGTCCGGCTGCACGAGTCCGCCCAGAGGCGCCACCCGGGGCCGAGCGAACCCCCCGCGCGGCGGCGCTGGCCGGCGGGGAGGCGAGGGGAGGCGGGCCGGTTGC